AGGGCCGTGGCCAATTACAGACAACGTCAGTTGAGCGTGGACAATTGACCCAAGCCGAAACATAACATGTAAAAAAGAATATTTAAAAACGATATATATATTTTATATATATATAAAAATATATATATGATATAATATGGTATTGTCATCAGTGTGACATCAGTATACCAAGTTTGCAGTCGATACCACATTGGGAAGTGGGTTAAAATTGAGTTACAAGATTTGAGGATACAACAACAGACAGTTAAATAAAAGCGTGTAACAATAGGGCTTATTTTGCCTTTTGGCGTCATCTGGTCCAACACCAATGGAGACTAGGCTCTAAGAAAAGCTGTCTCGGGTGTGGACCAATCAACTTCAAGGACAGTGCATACATTATCAGAGTTGTGTTTTTGTTTGCATTTTGACTGCTTGTGTTGTGGTTATTGCAAACATGATCCCTTGTATAAAGGTGTCAGTTTTTGTACCAGTTGAAAGGGTAAAAACCTATTACTATAAAGAGTATGAATCCTTGAAGTCACAAAAACTTCAAATCTACTCTAGCACAGAGGTCGCAAACGGGTTTTGATTCCTTACCCGTACCCAGCCGCACCAGGGTCGCAAACGGGTACCCGGCCGTACCCGTACCCTACCCGGCCGAGTACGGGTAGGGTACGGGTATCGGGTACCTGATTGCGACCTCTGGGATGAAGCCATGTTGCGGGCGCGGGTGGGTTGATTCTAGAAACTTGAATTGTGAGAAGAGACAAGACGTTGGGAAATGAGTGACAAACGGTGACTCACCAGTGACTCACGGCCTACCCGTACCCGGCCGCACCAGGGTCGCAAATGGGTACCCGTACCCGTACCCGGCCGGGTACGGGTAGCCGGGTATCGGGTAGGGTACGGGTATCGGGTATCCGGTTGCGACCTCTGCTCCAGCAGCAGCAGTGCGACGCATACCTTGCAAGTGCGAGGAACAATGGGTGAGCAGATGACCTCCCCGACAGAACTCGGGGGAGGAGGAGGTTGATGAGGTGGACACTTCTCGGCGGGGTCCCTGTCGAGATAAATCGACATGCGTGGGTGTACAGGCGGTTCACAACGGCCGCGTCAGGGACGCTTGTGTGTACGCACGTTGAACTTCTTTCGCACCGTACAAGGCCAACCGCTCTAGATCGCAGGTGCGGGGTGAAGGACAACAAACTAAACACATTAAGGAGTTCTAGAGAAGTGAGTTTCCAATCAAGAGCAAGACTGATGGAGGCTCTGCTCGGAGATTCGAATAGATTTTTCAGCCAAAACTGAAGCTGCGAGTGGCTGAGCGAGTGGGTGAACGTGGTGCATCTGCCAGACATCTCAGCCCACGGCACCTGGGTCTGTCCCGCGACTCGTGCCAGCGGAGAGCGTTCGAAACACTTCGCGTGATGGCCTCGGAGCACACCTGGGGCCTGGCACAAGCGCCACGGTAACATCACTGCCACTTAGTGGCGAACGGCGGCTGTTGTTGTGGGTGTGGGGATGTGAATGAACGAGTGAGTAGTGGTGGTTAGCGCTACGCTGCGCTACAAACCCGGCGGCCAGAGTGCGATTCCCACTCACGGTCCACCAACACCGGTGACGATGATCGGAAACCGTTTCTGGGCCTCCCCTAGGTCGACTCGCCTTAAATAAGTACCTGGCGCGGTGTGTAAACATCGCTACGAGGGAGACAAAGGCGGCCGGGCGTGGTGCTGGCCACCCACCTCCTCGTGTGCCGTGCCGGCCTTTGTCGGTGCTACTCGCTACCAGCACTTGCCCCAACAGTCTGTTCAGGCTACCGGGGGGTCTTTGTCTTGTGAACGAGGGTGAGTGAAGTGGGTCATCCGCAGCAGCAGCAGCCAGCAGCAGTAGCAGCAGTAGCCAACAGCAGCAGACAGCAGTAGCCAACAGCAGCAGACAGCATTAGCAGCAGCAGCCAGCAGCAGTAAACCAGCAGCAGTAGCAGCAGCTACAGCAGCAACTCTCAGTAGCAGCAGCAGCCAGCAGCAGCAGTCAGTAGCAGCATTAGCAGCAGCAGTCAACAGCAGCAAACCAGCAGCATCAGCAGCAGCACACAGCAGCAGCAGTAGTAGCAGCCAGCAGCAGCAGCAGTCAGCAGCAGCAGTAGCTAGCAGCAGCAGTCTGCAGCAGCAGCAGCAGTCATCATCAGCAGCAGCAGCAGCAGTAGACAGCAGCAGTCAGCTACAGCAGCTACAGCAGCAGTAGCAGCAGTCAGCAGCAGCAGCCAGCAGCAGCAGACAGCAGCAGCAGCAGCCAGCAGCAATCATCAGCAGCAGGCAGACAGCAGCAGTCAGCAGCAGCTACATCAGCAGCAGTAGCAGCAGCTAACAACAGCAGCAGCTACAGCAGCAGCAACAGCAGCAGCAGCAGTCATCAGCAGCCAGCAGCAGTAGCAGCAGTTGGAGCCAGCAGCAGCTACAGCAGCTACAGCAGCAGCAGGCAGTAGCAGCAGCAGCAGACAGCAGCTACAGCAGCAGTCATCAGCAGTCATCAGCAACAGCAGCAGCAGCTACAGCAGCTACAGCAGCAGACAGCAGCCAGCAGCAGCTACAGCAGCGATCAATCTACACCTCTGACAGCTCAAACCCCCACCTCTTCTCAATGGCCCCATCGTCTTTCTCCGAGTTTTCAAGTAACACCGGAGCTTGGCTCCGAGCCTCACTTATTGTCATTTATGTTCGCGAAATATTGGGCGCATTACAGATTTGCACGATCGTTGTTATTATGGCGAGTGGCTGAACGGGTGGGTAAGTTGGTGTTGAGGTCGATGAATGGTTACGTGAGTTTTTGGTGGATGAGTGAATTGATATTTGAGTGGGTGAGTAGGTGAGCTAGCATGTAAGAGGGTGACCGAGTTATTTGTGCGAGTGGGTGGGTGGGTGAGCAGCTACAGGGTGAGCGAGTGAAGAATGTGTGATTGCGTGGGAGAAGAGAGTGAGTGAGCGAGTGAGTGAGCGATTGGGTGAACAAACAGATGAACGTGTGATTGTGTGGAAGAGAGGGTGAGCGAGTGGGTGAGCGATTGGGTGAGCGAACGGATGAACGTGTGATTGCGCGGGAGAGAGGGTGAGTGTGAGATGGTATGCTCACCTGCCCAGAGCGGATCCAGACTCCTGAAACTCCCCACTCAGAGGAATTCCCGGGGAACGGCTTAACAGCTGCAAATCGTCAGCATCAACGTCATCATCATCATCATCCACCACCACCTCGCCATCATCATGATGCGATCACTGAGTGTGTGTATATGGGTGGCTATACGAGTATACGTGACTTTTTCGATTTAAAGCTTTCGTGACTGCAGGGATTCATCTTCTTGGTTCTTTCGGTAAAGTCACGTAGAAGGGAAACAATAAAAATAATGAAATCAAACATAATAAAATAATTCTCACGACGTTTCGGCTACAACGCAAGCAGCCGTCCTCAGGTGAAGACCAGGTCTGTCGGGAGACAGCGTCTGAGTGAAAACAGACGCTCGTCTCCCCGACATGAATGAAAACAGACGCTGTCTCCCCGACAAACCTGGTCTTCACCTGATGACGGCTGCTTGCGTTGTGGCCGAAAACGGTCGTGAGAATATTTTATTTGGTTTTATTTTTATTATTTTCATTCTACGTGACTTTACGAAAGAACCAAGAAGATACACGTGCCTTGTGTGAGCGTGAGAGTGTGGGGAGCGGTGGTGGCGCCAACAACCCCAGTTCGATTCCTAGTCACGACCAATAACGGTGGCGAACATCTGAACCGGTGCCGAGCTTCCCCGAGGTCGAATCAACCTCACGGACGAGTAGCTGGTGCCGTGTGCAGTAAACATCGCCACTGGGGAGACAAAGGCGGCCGGGCGTGGTGCTGGCCACCCACCCCCTCGTGTGCCACAGTGCCGGTAGCCTTCATAAGTGCTGCTCGCTAACAGCACTTGCCCCAGCAGTCTGTTACAGGCTATACGGGCATCTTTGTCTTTGTTTGTACCGGTGACGTCACAACGACGCTTGTGCCAGGCTAGGTGCAGGAGGTCACGGGACAGACCCAGTAGGTGACGTGGGTTGACTGCTGTGCCAGGCTAGGTGCAGGAGGTCACGGGACAGCCCAGCAGGTGACGTGGGTTGACTGCTGTGCCAGGCTAGGTGGCAGGAGGTCACGGGACAGACCCAGCAGGTGACGTGGGTTGACTGCTGTGCCAGGCTAGGTGCAGGAGGTCACGGGACAGACCCAGCAGGTGACGTGGGTTGACTGCTGTGCCAGGCTAGGTGCAGGTCACGGTACAGACCCAGCAGGTGCCATGGGTGACTGCTGTGCCAGGCTAGGTGCAGGAGGTCACGGACGACGATGATCCGAACCGGTCCTGGGCCTCCTCCTCTAGGTCGACTCAGCCTCAAACGAGTACCTGGTGCGGTGTGCAAGCAACAACACCACTGGGGAGACAAAGGCGCCGGGCGTGGTGCTGGCCACCCACCCCCTCGTTGCCGTGCCGGCCAGCTCACTAACAGCACTTGCCCCAAGCAGTCTGTTGAGGCTACGTGCATGAATGTGTGAGTACATGTATACGTGCGAGTGCATATCTGGTGTGTTACATGTATGTACATGTATGTGTGAGTGCTGATGTGGGTGTGTACATGTATGTACATGTATGTGTGAGTGCTGATGTGTGTGTGTGTACATGTATGTACCTGCTGATGGTGTGTGTACATGTATTACATGTATGTGTGCGTGCTGATGTGTGTGTACATGTATGTACATGTATGTGTGCGTGCTGATGTGTGTGTACATGTATGTACATGTATGTGCGAGTGCTGATGTGTGTGTACATGTATGTGTGAGTGCTGATGTGTGTGTACATGTATGTGCATGTATGTGTGAGTGCTGATGTGTGTGTACATGTATGTACATGTGTGTGTGCGTGCTGATGTGTGTGTGTACATGTGTGTACATGTATGTGTGAGTGCATATCTTGGTGTGTATATGTATGTACATGTATGTGTGCGTGGCTGATGTGTGTGTACATGTATGTACTGTGTGTGTGGCGTGCTGATGTGGTGTACATGGATGTACATGTATGTACATGTATGTGTGCGTGCTGATGTGGGTGTACATGTATGTACATGTATGTACATGGGTTGTGTGCGTGCTGATGTGTGTGTGTACATGTGTGTACATGTATGTGTGCGTGCGTGGAGCAAGTTACCATCTGCACGTATCTCCTCAGCTCACATTCTCTTTCTCCTCTCCACTCGTCCCCTCTGCTCTGCGAGCCAGCGGCGGTCGTGCCGTGGCCGGCGGCGGTCGTGCCGTGGCCGGCGGTGGGCGTGCCGTGGCCGGCGGTGGGCGTGCCGTGGCCGGCGGTGGGCGTGCCGTGTCCGGCGGCGGTCGTGCCGTGGATGACCACGGACACGGCGGGGCTGCTCAGTGCGTCTGTTATGGCTGCGGGTGTTTGCTGCGCGCGAGTGGCGGTGCCGGAGGTAGATGCGGTGACATTGAGGAGGGGCGGAGTGGCGACAGACGTGTCTCCGTTAGCGATAGACCGCTGTGTGATAGGGACAGTGTGGTGTGTGTTAGGGACAGTCTGCTGTGTGTTAACGACAGACTGCTGTGCGTTAAGGACAGTCTGGTGTGTAGGTTAGCGACAGTCTGGTGTGTGTTAGCGACAGTCTGGTATGTGTTAGGGACAGTGTGGTATTCGCTAGGGATAGTGTGGTATGTGTTAGCGATAGACTGGTGTGTGTTAGCGATAGACTGGTGTGTGTTAGGGACAGTCTGGTATGTGTTAGGGATAGTGTGGTATGCGTTAGGGACAGTCTCGTGTGTGTTAGCGATAGACTGCTGTGCGTTAGAGACAGTCTGGTATGCGATAGGGACAGCCTGGTATTCGCTAGGGATAGTGTGGTATGCGTTAGCGATAGACTGCTGTGCGTTAGGGAAAGTCTGGTGTGCGTTAAGGACAGTATGGTATTCGCTAGGGATAGTGTGGTGTGTAATAGGGACAGCCTCGTGTGTGTTAGGGATAGTGTGGTGTGTGTTAGGGACAGTCTCGTGTGCGTTAGGGATAGTCTGGTATTCGCTAGGGATAGTGTGGTATGCGTTAGCGATAGATTGGTGTGCGTTAGAAACAATCTGGTATTCGCTAGGGATAGTGTGGTGTGCGTTAGGCATAGTGTGGTGTGCGTTAGGGACAGTCTGGTATTCGCTAGGGATAGTGTGGTATGCGTTAGGCATAGTGTGGTGTGCGTTAGGGATAGTGTGGTGTGCGCTAGGCATAGTGTGGTGTGCGTTAGGCTAGTGTGGTGTGCGTTAGGCACAGTGTGGTGTGTGTTAGGCACAGTGTGGTGTGTGTTAGGCATAGTGTGGTGTGCGTTAGGGATAGTGTGGTGTGCGCTAGGCATAGTGTGGTGTGCGTTAGGAACAGTGTGGTGTGCGTTAGGCACAGTGTGGTGTGCGTTATGCATAGTGTGGTGTGCGTTAGGCACAGCCTGGTCCATGTAAGCGAGGGATGTGTGCGTGCTATGGACAGCAGGCGTGTATTTGTCGGGGCTCAAGTCATGCAAATTGTGGATGGACGCGTTCTGGCCGGCGGTGTACGCGTCAGGGCCGATTGCGACTGTGCTGCTGCTGTTGCAGCCGCTGCTGCTGCTGCTGCTGTTGCAGTTACTGCTGCTGCTGCTGCCGCTACTGCTGCTGCTGAGTGTGGTTGAGGCGCACGCGGCGGAGATGGGCGCGTACGCTGCCGTGCTGCCAGAGGCGAGCGCGTCGTGGTCGGACCGCCGCGTACCCCGTCCGCGCAGCGGGGCTCGTGATGTGAGCGGCGGGGGCCGCCGGCGCTGCGCGTGCCGTGGCCGGCGGTCCCCGCGTCCGCCGCCTCGTGGCGGACGAGGCGAGAGAGCGCCAGCGTCGTCTCGTGTCTCCACGCCTCGAGGGCTCGCTTCTCCCAGGACAGGCGCTCCGTCTCCGCGCGGACGACGCGGAGGCTGCAGGGGACAAGGCGCACGAAGAAGCGCGCGCGCTAACCGGAGTGTCCACCATCATCCCGTGTCTCCGAACGTGTCCCCCGTGTTTCTGTGTCTCCAATCGTGTCTTCAATCGTGTGCCCTGGTGTCTCCAATTGTGTCTGTGTCTCCAATCGTGTGTCTCTGTGTCTCCAATCTTATCCCCCGTGTTTCCAATCGTGTCCCCGTTCATATGGTACAGGTACAATGGGAGGCTGACCGCTGCCCGGGTGCGGTCAAGCGATGGCTCCCTCTATGTTGATGATCTGGTGATTGCTGCTCAATCAGGAGTTGGTAACTCAACTGCTGAACCTGCATTGTGCCACTTCGTGGTGGGGCCTTACTATTGTAATGACAGTAGAGTCTACCTGCAGTGCGAGTGGACTGGTGGCCACGGGAGGTAATGACAGGGGAGTCAGCTGTGAGTGTGAAGGGACTGGTGGCCACGGGAGGTAATGACAGGGGAGTCAGTTGTGAGTGCGAAGGGACTGGTGGCCACGGGAGGTAATGACAGGGGAGTCAGTTGTGAGTGCGAAGGGACTGGTGGCCACGGGAGGTAATGACAGGGGAGTCAGCTGTGAGTGTGAAGGGACTGGTGGCCACGGGAGGTAATGACAGGGGAGTCAGCTGTGAGTGTGAAGGGACTGGTGGCCACGGGAGGTAATGACAGGGGAGTCAGCTGTGAGTGTGAAGGGACTGGTGGCCACGGGAGGTAATGACAGGGGAGTCAGCTGTGAGTGTGAAGGGACTGGTGGCCACGGGAGGTAATGACAGGGGAGTCAGTTGTGAGTGCGAAGGGACTGGTGGCCACGGGAGGTAATGACAGGGGAGTCAGCTGTGAGTGTGAAGGGACTGGTGGCCACGGGAGGTAATGACAGGGGAGTCAGCTGTGAGTGTGAAGGGACTGGTGGCCACGGGAGGTAATGACAGGGGAGTCAGCTGTGAGTGTGAAGGGACTAGTGGCCACGGGAGGTAATGACAGGGGAGTCAGCTGTGAGTGTGAAGGGACTAGTGGCCACGGGAGGTAATGACAGGGGAGTCAGTTGTGAGTGTGAAGGGACTGGTGGCCACGGGAGGTAATGACAGGGGAGTCAGCCTGCAGTGCGAGTGGACTGGTGGCCACGGGAGGTAATGACAGGGGAGTCATCTTGCAGGACGAAGGGACTGGTGGCCACGGGAGGTAATGACAGGAGAGTCAGCTTGCGGCACGAAGGGACTGGTGGCCACGGGAGGTAATGACAGGGGAGTCAGCCTGCAGTGTGAGTGGACTGGTGGCCACGGGAGGTAATGACAGGGGAGTCAGCTGTGAGTGTGAAGGGACTGGTGGCCACGGGAGGTAATGACAGGGGAGTCAGCTGTGAGTGTGAAGGGACTGGTGGCCACGGGAGGTAATGACAGGGGAGTCAGCCTGCAGTGCGAAGGAACTGGTGGCCACGGGAGGTAATGACAGGAGAGTCAGCTTGCGGCACGAAGGGACTGGTGGCCACGGGAGGTAATGACAGGGGAGTCAGCCTGCAGTGCGAGTGGACTGGTGGCCACGGAGGTAATGACAGGGGAGTCATCTTGCAGGACGAAGGGACTGGTGGCCACGGGAGGTAATGACAGGAGAGTCAGCTTGCGGCACGAAGGGACTGGTGGCCACGGGAGGTAATGACAGGGGAGTCAGCTGTGAGTGCGAAGGGACTGGTGGCCATGGGAGGTAATGACAGGGGAGTCAGCTGTGAGTGTGAAGGGACTGGTGGCCACGGGAGGTAATGACAGGGGAGTCAGCTGTGAGTGCGAAGGGACTGGTGGCCACGGGAGGTAATGACAGGAGAGTCAGCTTGCAGGACGAAGGGACTTGTGGCGAGGGAAGAGGACGGTAGAGTCTGCTGGTGGAGCGAGCGTCCAGTCAGCAAGAAGGTTCTGGAAGGGGGGGGTGAGGCCTCAGTCCGTATATAAGGGAGATACGCGGGAGACTTGGGGCAGTTGCAGTGGGGTCTCCGTCTGTTCGAGTGAACGTGTCTTCATTAAAGAAACCATCTCAAGAAAAATGTGTCAAGTCGTCTTTGCACTATCATTCCCACCAAACATAACGCATCTACCCGGGCATTTATGCAGTAAAATACCCCACCTCCTCGTGAGTGATGGGGCAGTTGTGGAGAGAAACGATGACCTCCCACACCTGAGTAGTGAGCTTGTGACCAGTACCAGTTTGGCGGCAGAGGTCTTACTCCGAATCAGTCGAGCAGCATTATCTTTTCATCGGCTGTGTAATACTGATGTGTCGGAAGTTTCCTAGTCTATCGTTCCATACGAAGCTGCAATGGGGAGACAAAGACGGCCAGGCGTAGTGTTGGCCACCTTCCCCTTCAAGTGCCGTGCCGGCCTTCATAGGTGCACGCTTATAGCACTTGCCCCAAAAGCCTATGTAGGCTACACAGGGGATCTGTGTCTTTGTTTGTGTGTGAATGAGGATCAACAAGTGTTCATCTTCTTGGTTCTTTCGGTAAAGTCGTCACGTAGAAGGGAAACAATAAAAATAATGAAATAAAACATAATAAAATAATTATCACGACGTTTCGGCTACAACGCAAGCAGCCGTCCTCAGGTGAAAACCAGGTCTGTCGAGGCGACAGCGTCTGAATGAAACAGCACCATGCTTGGAGCGTATATTTAAGCTGGGTTGGAAGGGGGGGAAAGGGCACCTTGACAAAAGAATTTGCATATCAAGAGGAATTCAGCATATTTATGGGAAATGCAGGTATGTGATTAGCACCACTTATGTCCGTGCATTATGCAGGATTAGCAGCATCAAAGGGAGGGGATATGGGAAATGCAGGTATGTGATTAGTACTACTTATGCCCGTGCATTATGCAGGATTAGCAGCATCAAAGGGAAGGGATATGGGAAATGCAGGTATGTGATTAGTACTACTTATGCCCGTGCATTATGCAGGATTAGCAGCACCGAAAGAACCAAGAAGATGAATCCCTGCAGTCATGAAAGCTTTAAATCGAGATCTACAAGTGTGTTTATAGCTCCCGGTATCTCCCCAAGTCTCCCCATGTGTCCCAATGTCTCCGTATCTCTCCCATTTGTCTCGCCTGGTATACAGCAGGTTGTGGATTTAATCCCAACCCTGACGCCCGATCTACGTCTGGAGTTTGCGTGTTCTCCCCGTGGTCGCGTGGAATTGCTTCCGGGTCCACCGGTTTTACCCTCCACATTTAGAATAAACTTTGAATAGTATTTGGCTGCTATAAATTCCCAAGTGACAAGCCACTAAATTGAGCTACCATATGCGATAGCCTTCTTCGAAAGAGCTATACGGCTCAGCGGGCCTAACCTGGTAAAACAAAAATTAAATATAGTTTATAGTTTTAGTTGAACAACCGATCTCCCCGCGTTCTCTCGAATCTCGCCGTGTCCACCCCCCCCCCCCCCCCGCTTATCTCACCGTTGCTCGTGCTCCTGTCGCAGCGATCTCATCTCCTCCTCTCGGAGGCGAAGTGTCTCCCGCATCGAGGCCTCCATCTGCACGGCCTGGTCCCGGGCGGCCTCCTCCGTGTGCAGCAGCCTCTTCAGCTCCTCGACCCGAGCGCGTCCACCCCTCTCCACCGCCTCCCTCTCCTTCACCTCACTGTCTCTCTCCTCCACCAACCCGTCTCTCTCCTCCTTCAACTCATCTCTCTCCTTCACTACAGCGTCTCTCTCCTCCTTCAACTGCACTCTATCCTCCACCACCCGGTCTCTCTCCTCCTTCATCTGGTCTCTCTCCTCCTTCAACCGGTCTCTCTCCTCCTTCAACTGGTCTCTCTCCTCCACCACCAGGTCTCTCTCCTCCTTCAACTGGTCTCGCTCCTCCTTCAACCCATCTCTCTCCTCCACCACCAGGTTTCTCTCCTTCATTACAGAGTCTCTCTCCTTCACTACAGAGTCTCTCTCCTCCACCAACTGGTCTCTCTCCTTCACTACAGAGTCCTCTCTCCTCCTTCAACTGCTCTCTCTCCTCCTTCAACCCATCTCTCTCCTCCTTCAACCGGTCTCTCTCCTCCACCACCAGGTCTCTCTCCTCCTTCAACTGGTCTCGCTCCTCCTTCAACCCATCTCTCTCCTCCACCACCAGGTTTCTCTCCTTCATTACAGAGTCTCTCTCCTTCACTACAGAGTCTCTCTCCTCCACCAACTGGTCTCTCTCCTTCACTACAGAGTCTCTCTCCTCCTTGATCCGGTCTCTCTCCTCCTTGATCTGGTCTCTCTCCTCCTTCAACTGGTCTCTCTCCTTCACTACAGAGTCTCTCTCCTCCTTGATCCGGTCTCTCTCCTCCTTCAACTGGTCTCTCTCCTTCACTACAGAGTCTCTCTCCTCCTTCATCTGGTCTCTCTCCTCCTTCAACTGGTCTCTCTCCTTCACTACAGAGTCTCTCTCCTCCTTGATCCGGTCTCTCTCCTCCTTCAACTGGTCTCTCTCCTTCACTACAGAGTCTCTCTCCTCCTTCATCTGGTCTCTCTCCTCCTTCAACTGGTCTCTCTCCTTCACTACAGAGTCTCTCTCCTCCTTGAACTGGTCTCTCTCCTCCACCACCCGGTCTCTCTCCTCCTTCAACTGGTCTCTCTCCTTCACTACAGAGACTCTCTCCTTCACTACAGAGTCTCTCTCCTTCACTACAGAGTCTCTCTCCTCCTCCTCCTCCACCACCACCACCACCGCCACGTCCGAGTCTCTCTCCGTCTCCGTGTCGTCCCCACGCTCCACCACCTCCGAGTCACTCTGGGTCCCCGTGCCGTGGCTCGGCTCCGCTGCCTGCTTCACAATCAAAAGAGACGCGAAACCATCTTCTTGGTTCTTTCGGTAAAGTCACGTAGAAGGGAAGTAATAAAATAATAAAAAATCATAAAATAAAAAAATTATTATATTTTATTATATTATTTTATTATTTTATTTTATTATTTTATTTTATTATGTTTTATTTTTATTATTTTATTATTTCCCTTCTGCGTGACTTTACCAAAAGAACCAAGAAGATGAATCCCTGCAGTCACGAAAGCTTTAAATCGAAAAATCAAAAGAGACGCGAAACCCTGAACGTTAACGCGGACTCAACGCGTGCGCGCGCAGTCAGCGATTCACAGCAACTGCTGTCTCGGGGGCGAGGCCACGTAAGGCACTTACCCACATCTATGTCGTCGAGAATGCCTCCCTCCCCTCCCTCCTCACGACCTCTGACACACAGCCAAACAAAATGGAATCGTCCGCGCGGCGTGCGAGCGTTTGACAGCGCGCCGATTATTACCGTAGACACGGCTCGATTCGCCCGGCGAGGTCGGGAGAACGATCGTCGCAAACGCAATTTGGCGATTAGATAAGCGACGTGTTTCACCCGAGTCCTCGCCCGCATGTTGAACTTCTTTTGCACAGTACGTAGCCAGCCGTGCTAATCGGAGGTGCGGGGGAAGCAGCAACAATCTAAACACAAAAAAGCAGTCCTAAAGAAATTCGTTTTAAATCCAGGTGATTTAAGTGCACAGCTCAAAGCGGCTTCCTAATTATCGGAAGAGCGTTCCAGACGGCCGCAAAAGCAGCGCGTCTGAAAGCGCCGCGCTACGCAGTGGCCGTCTTTGTTCGCTGAGCGAGCCAAAGGCCGCTCTGCGAGTATGACGACCGGAGTTTGAGCGATGGTGGTTTATGCTCCTTGACGAGCTCCGTGAGTTGTTGCGCTTCAATTGTTGGCAAGCGCTTCGTGCGCGCAACGAACGCCGCCGCTCGCGATCAGCCACGTCACCACGCAAGCCTCCCTTCGTCCTGCTCCCCTCCCTACCTCCCTCCCGCCCCCCGCTCCATACTTTACCTTCTCTGCTTGCACCGTGGGACTCTGCTCTGTGAGATGAGCGTCTCTCCTCTTGCAGCACCGCACCACTTGCGCCAGGGTCTGCGGTAAACGCGCGCGCGGAACAGACAAAGGGGGCCCCCCGTGTAGCCTTCAAGGGACCGTTGGAGCGAGTGCCGTTAGCGAGAGTAGCAGCAGCACCTACGAAGGCCGGCACGGCACACGAACGGCCGGGTTGGCGAGCACCACGCTCGACCGCCTTGGTTTCGCACCAGGTACTCGTTCGAGGCTGATTCGACCTCGGGGAGGCCCAGGAGCGATTCAGGTTATCGTTACTGGTGTTGGCCGTGAGCGGGAATCGAACTGGGGTCGCTGAAGTTCTTAGCGCGGCGCCTTAACTGCCACTCTACCGCTCCCCACAAAGATTCCCCGTGCAGCCTTAAACCGTTGGGGCAAGTGCTGTTAGCGAGAGGAACCTTTCGTGACTGCAGAGATTCATCTTCTTGGTTCTTTCGGTAAAGTCACGTAGAATGGAAATAATAATAAAATAATAAAAATGAAACATAATAAAATAATTCTCACGACGTTTCGGCCACAACGCAAGCGGCCGTTCTCAGGTGAGGAACAGGTCAGAAGACAAAGTCATTCAGACTCTGTCGTCTCGACAGACCTGTTCCTCACCTGAGGACGGCCGCTTGCGTTGTGGCCGAAACGTCGTGAGAACTATTTTATTTTTATTATTTTATTATTTCCATTCTACGTGACTTTACCGAAAGAACCAAGAAGACGAGAGGAACCTATGAAGGCAGGCACGGCACACGAGGGGGTCGGTGGCTAGCACCACGCCCGGCCACATTTTGGGCCTCTGGGCTTGGCGCTCAGCGGCCGTGATTCAAAAATAAACGCGGAGGCAGAGACGGCAAAACAGTGCAGACCTCTCCAGATGATTGGCTACGTACGTTTGGCTACGTACGTTTGGCTAAGTTCGACGTACATACTAAACTATCTTTTACTTTAGAAGCGACCGGGCCACAAATTAATTGGCTTATCATTGCGTGGAAATTTCTAGCAGCCAAATACCACGGACGCATGTTTCAAAATGGAGGGAAAAACCAAAGGACCCGGAGAAAAATCCACGCAACCACGGGGAGAGAGAGACACACAAACTCCACATATACAGCAGCAGGCATCGTCAGGGTTCGGGAACGAGCCCACGGCCTCCTGTATACCAGTCGAGCTCGTTAACGTCTCCTAGCCACCGTGGCGAGACAGAAGTGAACCACCCCTCACCTCATCCAGCTGCCTCACCACCGCCTCCCTGCGCCGCTCCATCTCCACGGCGACGTCCAGGGCCTGGCGAGTCTCGCGCAGCCTGCTGAGGGCCCAGGCGAGGCGGCGCTGGGTGACTCGGTGACGTTTCCTCTCCCTTGTGGAGGGGGGGCGGGGAGGTAAGGAGGACACGATCATTAAGCATCATTGACGGCGATGACGAATCAGCGATCACCATTGGAACCTCATTTGCTAGTAAAAAATAAAATTGTTTTTTTAACCTTTTTTTTTTACTGGCAAATGAGGTTCCAATGGTGTAAATGCTTTACCCCGAGCTCTCGTACTCTGATGGTGCGTTGTCTTTGAGTTGTGCGCCTTTTAGCGTCATCTGGTCCAACCCATGTGAGATTAGGCTCTAAGGAAAGCTGTCTCGGGTGTGGACCAATCAACTTCAAGGACGCCTTCTTACGTGTTCAACCGACTTACCTCAGGGCAGCTGCCCAAGGCCCCATCTCCTCCCCGCGCCGCTTCAGGAGGACGAGCAGGAGGTTCACGATGGCCGGCATGCGATGCAGTCCGCCGCTCAGCATGGCCGCCGCAGAGGCAGGGGACGGCTGCTGCTGCTGCTGGCGGAGACTCGAGACGCGGGTGACGTGGGGAGATGCGGGGACGCGTGGGGAGACCGAGGGAGACGCGGGGACACCGGGGGAGAGACTGCGACACGCAGCGAGATTAGGGGAGCTTTGGGAGGCTGGAGAGACGCAGCGAGACATAGAGAGGTCAGGGGGAACACGGGAGGTTGGAGAGAGACAGGGAGACACAGGAAGCCCAGAGGAGACACGGGGACCGCAAAAGAGACTGGAGACGGAGAGAGATGGAAAGCAGAGGGGAGAAGAGGGGGAGTGCCGGAGAGCGAAGAGTCTCTGGGGAGAGAGGCCCGGGGAGTGGGAGTCCTCTGTGTGCGAGTGAGCGCGCAGACGCTCCGGTGAGGGGTCACTGTCGTGTGCGGGTGAGCGTGGTGCAAGTGAGCGCGCGGGTGAGTGCGTACACGAGTGTTCGCTACGTGGTTCAGGTGAACTAGCATGTGAATGTTCGGGTGTCCGCTCGTTCAAACCTTCAGCTTCACTGCGAGGCGAGTGGGTAAGTGAGCGTTCAGGTAAGTGGGCAGTTGAATAGTCGAGCGAGTGTGTAGGCGAGTATTCAGGCGAGTAGGTGGGTGAGCGTTCATTCAATTGTTCGTGTTCATCGCGAAGTGAGTGGAGAGGTGAACGTGTAGATGAGTGATGATTCAATCCTTCAGCTTCATCGTGAGCTGCACGTGTGGGCGAGTCTTCAGGTGAGAATGTAGGCGAGCGAATAGGCGTGTCCATCGATGCACGTCGATCCAGTCCCATGGACTCCTCTCCACGTGACTCCATCACCCGACCCCCACAATGCACCATTGCTGCCACTTGCTCCGGGGAATTGTGGGAGTCCAGCGGGGGTGGCTGCCCCCCCACGGAAGTCACCGCCATCCTGGCTCGACTGACCAATCAGGAGCTGCCTTGAGAAACCCCGTCAGCCAATGGAAAGGCTGGCTTGGGAGAGAGGTTGCCGTGGCGACGGTGGTGGGTAGCTGAGTCTGTGGCGGGAGGGAGATGGGAAGGGGGTGAGCAGCTTGGTGAGTAAATGGGTGGGAGGTGTAGGGGAGGGTGGGCGAGTGGGTGGGTTGGCGAGTGGGTGAGTTGGTGAGTGGGTGGCTTGGTGAGTGGGTGAGTTGGTGAGTGAGTGGGTTGGTGAGTGGGTGGGTGAGTGAGCACTTTGGTGAGTAAATGGGTGGGAGGTGTATGGGAGGGTGGGCGAGTGGGTGGGTTGGCGAGTGGGTGAGTTGGTGAGTGAGTGGTTTGGTGAGTGGGTGGGTGAGTGAGTAGTTGGGTGAGTAAATGGGTGGGAGGTGTAGGGGAGGGTGGGCGAGTGGGTGGGTTGGTGAGTGGGTGGGTGAGTGAGGAGGTGGGTGGGTTGGTGAGTGAGTTGGTGAGTGGGTGAGTTGGTGAGTGGGTGAGTTGGCGAGTGGGTGAGTTGGTAAGCGAGTGGGTTGGTGAGTGGGTGAGTGAGTGAGCAGTTTGGTGAGTAAATGGGTGGGAGGTGTAGGGGAGGGTGGGCGAGTGGGTGGGTTGGTGAGTGGGTGAGTTGGCGAGTGGGTGAGTTGGTGAGTGAGTGGGTTGGTGAGTGGGTGGGTGAGTGAGCAGTTTGGTGAGTAAATGGGTGAGAGGTGTAGGGAAGGGTGGGCGAGTGGGTGAGTTGGTGAGTGGGTGAGTGAGTGGGTTGGTGAGTGGGTGGGTGAGTGAGAAATTTGGTGAGTAAATGGGTGGGAGGTGTAGGGGAGGGTTGGTGAGTGGGTGAGTTGGTGAGTGAGTGGGTTGGTGAGTGGGTGGGTGAGTGAGTAGTTGGGTGAGTAAATGGGTGGGAGGTGTAGGGGAGGGTGGGCGAGCGGGTGGGTTGGTGAGTGGGTGAGTTGGTGAGTGGGTGAGTTGGTGAGTTGGTGAGTGGGTGAGTTGGTGAGTGGGTGAGTTGGTGAGTTGGTGAGTGGGTGAGTTGGTGAGTGAGTGGATTGGTGAGTGGGTGAGTTGGTGAGTGGGTGAGTTGGTGAGTGAGTGGGTTGGTGAGTGGGTGGGTGAGCAGTTTGGTGAGTAAATGGGTGGGAGGTGTAGGGGAGGGTGGGCGAGTGGGTGGGTTGGTGAGTGAGTGAGTTGGTGAGTGGGTGAGTTGGTGAGTGAGTGGGTTGGGGAGTGAGTGAGTTGGTGAGTGGGTGAGTTGGTGAGTGGGTGAGTTGGTGAGTGAGTGGGTTGGTGAGTGGGTGGGTGAGCAGTTTGGTGAGTAAATGGGTGGGAGGTGTAGGGGAGGGTGGGCGAGTGGGTGGGTTGGTGAGTGAGTGAGTTGGTGAGTGGGTGAGTTGGTGAGTGAGTGGGTTGGTGAGTGAGTGAGTTGGTGAGTGGGTGAGTTGGTGAGTGGGTGAGTTGGTGAGTGAGTGGGTTGGTGAGTGGGTGGGTGAGCAGTTTGGTGAGTAAATGGGTGGGAGGTGTAGGGGAGGGTGGGCGAGCGGGTGGGTTGGTGAGTGAGTGAGTTGGTGAGTGGGTGAGTTGGTGAGTGAGTGGGTTGGTGAGTGAGTGGGTTGGTGAGTGAGTGAGTTAGTGAGTGGGTGAGTGGGTGAGTTGGTGAGTGGGTGAGTTGGTGAGTGGGTGAGTTGGTGAGTGAGTGGGTTGGTGAGTGAGTGGGTTGGTGAGTGAGTGAGTTAGTGAGTGGGTGAGTTGGTGAGTGGGTGAGTTGGTGAGTTGGTGAGTGGGTGAGTTGGTGAGTGGGTAAGTTGGTGAGTGGGTGAGTTGGTGAGTGGGTGAGTTGGTGAGTGGGTGAGTGGGTGGGTGAGTGAGCAGTTGGGTGAGTAAATGGGTGGGAGGTGTAGGGGAGGGTGGGTGAGTGGGTGAGTTGGTGAGTGGGTGAGTTGGTGAGTGGGTGAGTTGGTGAGTGGGTGAGTTGGTGAGTGGGTGAGTTGGTGAGTTGGTGAGTGGGTGAGTTGGTGAGTGGGTGAGTTGGTGAGTGAGTGGTTGGTGAGTGGGTGAGTTGGTGAGTGGGTGAGTTGGTGAGTGAGTGGGTTGGTGAGTGGGTGAGTTGGTGAGTGAGTGGGTTGGTGAGTGGGTGAGTTGGCAAGTGGGTTAGTTGGTGAGTGGCAGTGGGGTGGGTGAGTGAGTTGGTGAGTGGTGAGTGGTGAGTTGGTGAGTGAGTGGGTTGGTGAGTGGGTGAGTGGGTTGGTGAGTGCGAGCGTTTGACCGAAAGAACCAAGAAAATGAATCCCTGCAGTCACGAAAGCTTTAAATCCAAATGTATTTATACTGCACGAGAAATCCGATGAGCTATGAAGCTCTTTCATTGCAGATGTTTCTAAACGTTAAAACAACAACGAACGCAACACACAAACACGATGTGAGTGCAAAGTATAAGAAGGGTAAACAATTCACTTAAACGTAAAAAGTAAACTATATGTTGTTATTTTACAAAGTAAAATAAATCCCACTGAGGTATTAACCCACAAACCTCGTGTTCCACAGTGCACACTTGCCCCTACAGTCTGTTACAGGCTACACGGGGGACCTTTGTTTTGTTGTATATCTGTGGAGGTGGGTGGACTACGCACCAAGTACTCATTTGAGGCTGAGCCGACCTAGGGGAGGCACAGGACCGGTTCTAATAATCGTCACCGGGTGTTGGCGGTGAGCGGTAGTGTATCTAACCGCTCCCCACACACAGATGTACACACATTCATGCATATTCACACACACAGATGGTTATTCGTAGACAAATATGGTTGGTTATTCGTATACACACAGATGTACACACACACACTCGCCTCACCTACCTCGCGTTTTTTTCTCTTATTCTTCTTCTTTCAGGCGTTCGCTCGATCTCGAGTGCCGCCTTTACGCTTTGAGTTAAAGTTTTTTGTTAAAATATATTAATATTTTAAAACTAAGTTCATAATTTACCTCAGACTCCTTCGCGGCTTTCAATCACCGCCAACCGTTTGCGGGGGGAGGGGGGGGGGAGCCGGCTGTTGGTACCGGTCACGTGACGCCAACGCCGCGTCGTGATTGGCCCGATTTGGATTTCCCGCCAAAACGACCGGAGCCAACCAGAGCTCGCGCGGGGAGTCCGGCGGGAAGGGACCCGGATGCTCATCTGCATTGGGAAATTTGAAGTCTTATTGGTGGGGTGCTTATGTGAACTGGGAAATTAAACGTCTATAGTATTGATTGATTATAATCGATTAGCAGACGCGAATAGCAAACCTGTCAACCGCTGATCAGTGCCCGAGCTTGTCACCCCCGTGCCCCTACACTACTATACACTACTTTACACTACACTATACACTACACTATACACTACACTATACACTACACTATACACTACACTATACACTACTTTACACTACACTATACACTACACTATACACTACACTATACACTACTTTACACTACACTATACACTACTTTACACTACACTATACACTACACTATACACTACTTTACACTACACTATACACTACACTATACACTACACTACTACACTATACACTACACTATACACTACTTTACACTACACTATACACTACACTACTACACTATACTATACACTACACTATACACTACACTATACACTACACTACTATACACGACACTACTATACACTATACACTACACTATACACTACACTACACTATACACTACACTATACACTACACTATACACTACACTATACACTACACTATACACTACACTACTATACACTACACTACACTTACACTACACTACACACTACACTATACACTACACTATACACTACACTACTATACACTACACTATACACTACACTATACACTACACTACACTATACACTACACTATACACTACACTACTATACACTACACTATACACTACACTACACACTACACTATACACTACACTACTATACTATACACTACACTATACACTACACTATACACTACACTACTATACACGACACTACTATACACTATACACTAAACTATACACTACACTATACACTACACTACTATACACTACACTACACACTACACTATACACTACACTATACACTACACTACACACTACTATACACTACACTATACACTACACTATACACTACACTACTATACACTACACTATACACTACACTATACACTACTACACACTACACTATACACTACACTATACACTACCACATACCTGTCAGACCTTATTAATCACCAGACCGCTGCGACAATTGTTTCGCAAGCGACCTGGCGAATGGACAATAGCTCTCGCAAGCGGCTGGCTGCTTCATCATCATCATCACCGTGGCCACCATCGCGTGGAAATGTCTAGCGGGAGCCAAGACTCTGAAACGCCGCGTGTGATGTCGATTCTAAATGTGGAGGGGGAAAAATTTAACCCGTAAAAATAAAGTTTTTCACTATAATCCTTTATATGCGTGGCGGCTAGAGTCCTCTCGTCCTCTGGCTTGAGATGGCTGCCTCCTATGGGTCAGATAATTGCCTGCCACCATTAAGCAATTGGTAATTAAATATTTTTAAAAAAATCCTAAAAGGTGTAACATTTTAGAGAAATTTTTTTCACGAAAATTAATTGTCACGCACAACGAGTCTGTGTGCAAAATGTCAGCTCGATTGGATCACGGGAAGTGGGTTAAAAAACGACCGAAAGATTTGCACGGTCGTAAGCAAGCAAGCAAGTGAACTTAATATAAAGAATTTAAAAAGCGGAGGACCCAGAGAGAGAAATCCACGCGACCACGGGGAGAGACACAGAGAGAGAGATTTACAAACTCCGAATATACAGCAGGTGTCAGGGTCGGGATGGAACTCACGACCTCCTGCGTACCAGGCGAGGTATTTAACATCTCCTAGCCACCGTGATGATGATGATGAGAGACAGACACGCAAACTCCAAATCGACAGCAGCAGGCGTCAGGGTCGGGATCGAACCCACGACTTCCTGTATACCAGGCGAGGTAGTCAACATCTAGCCACCGTGATGATGACGAGAGAGACGCAAACTCCAAATACACAGCAGCAGCAGGCGTCAGGGTCAGGATGGAACCCACGACCTCCTGTAGACCAGGCGAGGTAGTTAACATCTCCTAGCCACCGTGACGATGATGATGATGAGAGAGAGACGCAGACTCCAAATCGACAGCAGCAGGCGTCAGGGTCGGTATCGAACCCACGACCTCCTGTACACCAGGCGAGGTAGTTAACCTCTAGCCACCGTGATGATGACGAGAGAGACGCAAACTCCAAATATACATCAGCAGCAGGCGTCAGGGTCGGGATGGAACCCACGACCTCCTGTAGACCAGACGAGGTAGTTAACATCTCCTAGCCACCGTGATGATGATGATGAAAGAGAGACACGCAGACTCCAAATCTACAGCTGCAGGCGTCAGGGTCGGGATCGAACCGACGACGTCCTGTAGACCAGGCGAGGTAGTCAACATCTCCTAGCCACCATGATGATGAGAGAGACGCACACTCCAAATATACAGCAGCAGCAGGCGTCAGGGTCAAGATCGAACCCATGACCTCCTGTATACCAGGCGAGGGAGTTAACATCTCATAGCCACCGTGATGATGATGATGAGAGAGAGACGCAAACTCCGAATCTACAGCAGCAGCAGGCGTCAGGGTCGGGATCGAACCCACGACCTCCAGTCGACCCCCGTGGTCGCGTGGATTTCTCTCCAGTTTTCCCTTCCACATTTAGAAGTTTGCACTTGAGAGTATTTGGCTCCTGCTACACATGTCCACGTGATGAGCCACTTCACTGTGGCCATTGGGCATTATCTCGCAGAGAGAGAGAGACACACACAGAGACACACAGAGAGATACACACAGACAGACACACAGAGAGAGACACACAGAGATTCACACAGACAGACACAGAGAGAGACAAATAGAGAGACACACAGAGAGATACCCACAGAGAGAGACATACAGACAGACACAGAGAGAGAGACACAGAGGGAGATACAACACAGAGACACACAGAGAGAGACACAGAGACACACACAGAGAGACACACAGAGACACACAGGCAGAGAGAGTCACACAGAGACACACAGGCAGAGAGAGACACACACACAGACACACAGAGAGAGACAACCACTCACCAACCCGCTAAACCACTCACTCACCGCCCGCTCATCCACTCACTCACCAACCCACTCACCACCCACTCAACCACTCACCACCCAGCTAAAATACTCACCAACCCACTCACTCACCACCCTCTCAACCACTCACCAAAACACTCACCCACTTAGCAACCCACTCACCACCCTCTCAACCACTCACCAAAACACTCACCCACTTAGCAACCCACTCACCACCCTCTCAACCACTCACCAAAACACTCACCCACTTAGCAACCCACTCACCACCCTCTCAACCACTCACCAAAACACTCACCCACTTAGCAACCCACTCACCACCCTCTCAACCACTCACCAAAACACTCACCCACTTAGCAACCCACTCACCACCCTCTCAACCACTCACCAAAACACTCACCCACTTAGCAACCCACTCACCACCCTCTCAACCACTCACCAAAAACACTCACCCACTTAGCAACCCACTCACCACCCTCTCAACCACTCACCAAAACACTCACTCACTTAGCAACCCACTCACCACCCTCTCAACCACTCACCAAAACACTCACCCACTTAGCAACCCACTCACCACACTCTCAACCACTCACCAAAACACTCACCAACTTAGCAACCCACTCACCACCCTCTCAACCACTCACAAAAACACTCACCCACTTAGCAACCCACTCACCACCCTCTCAACCACTCACCAAAACACTCACCCACACCAACACACTCAACCGAGCCACTCACGTTATCACAACACTCACCAACCCCACCAACACCCACAAGAAACTTCATCCATTCACTCACTCACCCATCCACTCACTCACCTACCAGCTCACTCACGGCATCACGCGCTCACTCATCCACTCACTCGCTCACCCAACTCGCCCGCTCGCTCACATACTCATCTACTCGCCCAGTCACTCGCCCACTCGCTCACCCACTCGCTCACGCACTCGCCCACGCACTCGCCCACTCACGAACTCACACACTCATCTCCCCACACACTCACTCACTCGCCCACACACTCACCTACTCGCTCACTCACTCGCACACACAATCACTCACCTATTCGCTCACGCACTCGCCCACTCACTCACACAATCACTAACCTACCCACTCATCTACTCACAACCCGCTCACTCATTCCCTCACTCACTCGCTCATCTACTCAGACACGAGCTCACTCTCTCGCGCACTCGCCCACTCACTCGCACAATCACGAACTCACCCATTCATCCACTCACACACTCACTCATCCACTCACCGAAAAACTCACCCCACGGGCCAACCCACTCACTCACTCACCAACCCACCCACCCCCCCTCCCCGCCCTGGTGAGTGTGCGGTGAGTGAGAGCAGGCGAGGGGTGGGACTTGCGTCTGTACAGACTCTGCTTTATTCCATCTCCATAGGACACAGGACAGCCGGGACACATCGCGACATCCAGGACACACGGGGGGGGGGGGGGGGCAGTCAGGACACACCTGGGCACCAGACAGCGTGCATACAACCACTCACATACACAGTACATAATACAAAGATTCCCCGTATAGCCTTAACATACTGTTGGGGTAAGTGCTGTTAGCGAGCACCTACACACACACTCTTACATACAAATCCACACAGATATACACACACAGACACACACACAGACACACACACAGACAGACACACACACAGTCACACAGACACAAACACACAGACACACACAGACATACAGACATACACACAGACACACATATACACACAGAGATACACACACACAGACACACACACAGACACACACTTACATACCAAGACAAAGATGCCCCGTGTAGCCTCGACAAGGACGTTTGGGGGGGTTGGGACAAGTG